ATGCAGTTTACTGTGGGGGCGTTGGGCGCCTCCTATAACCAGGGTCCTATCACCTCTGCCTGGATATTGGACCACTAAGTGATCTGGAGCCTGATTCACCTCTTTCCCCCAAGGCAGTAGCACGGAGTTGTGATGAGAGAAGCTGTTTGAACTGGCAGGGAGTGGGGTTCCTGGCACCGAGTCCTCTGTGATGGGAGCTCAGTTCCCCAGCATGGTCCCGCAGGGCTCAGATTAGTTAACCTTAAGGGCACACATCAAGGGGGCATCTGTTGTTCTGGGAGGACTGGGCAGAGCTGGTTTGGGGAAATGGGCAGTGGAGTGGTGTTTCTTGTCCCCGGAGTTATTCTCTTGTGTATGAGCTGGTCTTGTACTGATGGCTGTGGGCTGTGATTTGCTATCGTCATCTGGGTGTCGTTATACAGCCTGGTTGAGTGTCCTTCTCTTTGTATTAAACACAGTTATCTTCCTTATGTTTTCTAGTTCGTACAGTGCCCACTGTTGGGGTAGATTCTGTATTCAACCTCGATTAATAAAAAATCCAATATGTACAAATCAGAGCTCCAGTGGCATTTTCCATAAGAGGAAGTGTTTGCCCCAGTGTCACTGGTCAGAGTTCTTACTCTCTTCCCCACTGGTGGATGGTTTAGACGGACCAAGGCTTTGTTGGCTATGGCCATGGTGGGGGGCACAGGGGGACCACAGATGATCCCTTTGGGGTTCTCCGCCAGCACTGATGTGCTCTTGCACCTCTGCTTTTAGAGAGCAGCCTGCTTTGTCTCTTTCTGTTTTGGGTTCTTGTGGGCACATGAAGTGAAGGATTCTGGCCAGCCGCTGGAGAGGAGTGCAAGGTGTGTGTGTGTGTGCGGGGAGGGAGGGAGGGTGCTGAGCTGTGTGCATCTCTAGAAGAGCAGCCAAAATATGGCCCTTAGTTTTGGTGTCCTAAAGTGTAGCAGCCCTACAGTACTGATAGCATACAGGCCAGAGTCTCCCTTCGCTCACTGCACAGAAATCCCATTGCCTTCTCTGGGATTCCCATGCACACAAGGAGGGCAGGGGACCCGAAATATAGACTAGGAAACTGACAGCTGTGGGTGAGGGGTGGGGTTAAACGAGACCCGTAGCATTGACAGACTGCAATGTTCTTGATGCTGATGTAGGTGAAATCTCTTATCTAATGAGGGACCCCAGAGCTCTGTAAACCAAACATGTCAGTGTGGTCTAGTGGGTAGAGTGCTGGGCTGGGAATGAGGAGTTCTGGGTTCTGTTCCTGACCTGTTGGGGGACCTTGGGAAGGTCCCTTCCCCTCTCTGCGATCCTGTTTTTCCTCCTGCCCTTTGTGTCTTTTGACTAGTTTGAGTGTGAGCTTTTCAGAGTGGGACTCTCTCTATGTGTGTGTACAGCGCCTAGCACAATGGGGCTCCAGTCTTAGTGGGTGCTACTGTAATACATATACTTAATAATGGTGTGTCTGGAGGCAGGTGGGCCCTGTGCCTTCTGTTTACTCTCCGTATTAGAGCACCTGTCCTGGTCATTAAGGGTTATCACTTCTGCATCCACACTTGCCATTTCAAAGTGTTTCAAACAGTCGCTCCACAAAGCTGTACCCTGCCTTTTAATGAGACCATTGCTAAGTCTCTGCTGCCCTATCCATGTTCTTGTCGTTATGGGCTTTCTTCCCTGTTGCACTCCGATCTGAATCCGGTTGTTAGTTTCCGAGAGTTTCTCAAATCTATTCCATCGATACAGTGAACTAAGGGGAGGTAAAACTTGTCTTTTTAAACGCATTTGCTTTGCCACACTAGAGCGTGAGTGCTGCAAGCCAAGTCCCTGGTGAGCATGTTTTGTCCACATAAATCCCCTTCCATTTTCACAGAGCAGGAAAGCTGATCTGGAAGCAAAACAGGAGGGTGTGCAGAGTTGTGCCGCTCAGTGATAGGAAAGGATTTTGTGCTGAAGTGTGTTATAAGGCGCGGTCCCTTTTAAGAGCAGGGAAAGCTGGGAAAACCCTGTGCCAGGGTATAAAATAAGAGACCTGAGAGAGGAAAGTCAGTTTCAGTTCAGTAGGCATGGTGTGTGCTTGGATTTTGTTCTTAGTACTGTATGTTTCTCTTAGCGCTTGGCACTTGGGGCGATATTGTTGAAGGAGTTTTGGACAAATAAGGGAATTACAATGTTAAGCCTATGTTTGATTGTGCCGTTTTTAATCCCAGCCCCAGCATGGCCAGAGTTGGAGGATCTTTCGGTATCCTTTCCTCTCACTAAACTCCCCAACCTTGTTTTAGTGTCCGACACATGAGCTACCTCTTGCTCTGATTTATTCAGACATTTCCCCCCACCTTAATTGGACGACGAGCTGCCTTTGAGACGTTTCCCACAAACGAATAGTCTTTCCTGAAAATTACTGCAGCGTGAGGGGCTGCTGCACTCGAGAAAGGGGCCGCTGCAATACAATTACCTGTTCAATCTTTGTTGCTGTAAGAGGAAAGGACACCAAAATATATGGCCAAATTCAGGTTCACACAAGCAGGGGCTGCCTCTGGGCCAGCAGCTCCAATCCATTCCTTGGATGCTAGTAACGGGTGCAGTTACCATCTGATGACTGTTTGATGACCTGTGCCAAAGAAGTGGGTGGTCATATCCGGGCTCCCAGTTAAAAATGTCAGTCTGCTTAACTCTCCCTGCCTCCTCTGCTGGCGTCCTCAGTAGATAGGTCAATCAACAAACAGTCCGTTCAGCCTGCCTGCCTTCCACTGCTGGGGCTGCTTCCCCCAGATCGTGTTTCTGGTGCCTGGGCCAGGCCATGTGGGGCAGCCTGCATTAGCCAGAGCGACACCTGTTCTGTAGTCAGACAGACGCTTTCTGTGCCCAGGACTGTTAAATCAGCGGTAGGCAGGTGTGAGTAATGATGAGCAAACTGCAAGAAATCCAGAGCTTTCAAACAGAATGGGAGAGACTCCGTATGGGACTCAGAGATCACCCTCTGCTCTCATCACATGCTAATGTGTCCCTAAGTCCCCCAGCCCCCAAACTATTCTGGGTTGTGGGGAGAATCTCCCTAGGAGAAGACCAGGCTTATGCTTGTTGTGTGCAGGTCTGAGCGTTCAGGGCTTTAGGATTTAGTTCAGGTGTAAGCGTTCAAAGGGCCAGGTGCCCACCTGAGACATAACCAGGCTGATCAAATCCTACTGTTTCATTGAGAAACGCCAACCCAAACAATGTGCAGGGCAGGATTTCCCCTCCTGTATAGAACATGCCCCGTGTAAGTGGAGGTTCTTCTCCGCCATCGTATGTCAGAGGAAACCAGAAAGCACCGACGCCCCTGCGGGGAAAGGCCCTGGTTATCAGATTTTATTAGGGTGGTGAGAAACTTGGCAACTTTTGTTGGCAGCTTAGTTCTTTTCAGTTTTCTGTGAATTTGGGGAGTGGGCTGGACCCAAAAACTCCAGCTAAAACTCAACTGATGGGGAAACATGCAAAAATGGCAAGACCTATCTCATTACCACTCAAAACCATAAATCAGCCTAAGATGACTCCAAACTAGGCCGGGATTGGCCAGAAAGCTCATAAATGTTGAACCTTGAGCCAGGCTTGACAGAAAGTGTGTCAGATTTGTAATGAGACTAGGAAGCAGGGGCACTTATCTCTGATTTTACTGCAGTCACAATACAATGGTGTCTCCATTTGCAGCGTGAGGTAATGGGTAACTGGTGGTCTAGGGACATCATTCTGGCAAACACTCTAAACACAATGGTATAATTATTTAATGATCATCTTCTTCCTACCTCTATCTCAGAGGTGCAACTGCATTATACCAAGGAACTCTGCCTAGAATTAACACTCCAAAGTCACTTTGTTAAGCATAGTGCCGTAGAAGATCACGTTCACCAGTTCTAAAATTGCATTCCTGCCACAAACTATAAAATGATGCTTTTCTCTTCTGAAATTGGCAAAGTGATTTTAAGCTGAGCCCTTTCACACTAACGATCTGCTCCTGCTGTCCTCCTGCATTCAGAGTTCCCGGAGATGTCCACGGGCACTCTGTCTGCAAAAGGCGTGCAGTGTCCCTGGCCTCTTCGTCTCATTCTCAAAGGAAATTTGTACAGCCCAGTGGTAAACTGTTGGAAACACTGACACAGCCTGACCGGAGTTATGTAATGGCTTTTTAAACAATCTCACTCGGTGCATCAAAGCCATGAAACTGATTACATCATGATATACTGCACTGGATTATTTCCTCTTAAGTCACTAGTAACTTGCTTTTATTCATATTAATTTATAATCAGAGTATTAATATAATGTTAATAACTCCCTACATTATTTCTAAAGCAGCTTTTCTGGTAAAGAGGTGGTATGTCAGCGGTTCTCAAACTTCACTGCACCGCGACTGCCTTCTGACAACAAAAATTACTACATGACCCCAGGAGTGGGGCCCGAAGCCCGAGCATGCTGCCCCAGGTTGGGGGACCCATAGCCCAAGCCCCACCGCCCCAGGCAGGGGGGCCAAAGCCCCAGGGCTTCAGGGGGCATGCTGCCCAGGGCTGAGGCCCTTGGGATTTGGCTTCGGCCCCAGGTGGTGAGGCTCGGGCTTCAGCTTTGGGCTTGGGCCCCAGCAAGTCTAAAGCCAGCCCTGGCGACCCCATTAAAACAGGGTCCCGACCCACAGTTTGGGAAACCCTGTGGTTTATACATGATGGAATGGGCTAAAGGTTTCATTGACACTTGCTTAGGAGGATGTACATGACTTGCAATAAGGCAGCTCTTCTAAATGAATTTTCTTCAGTTCTTAACCCGGTGCTATACTAAGAGTGTATTTTCTATTTACCTTCACCTGAGCTCCGTTTTACATGCCTGCTTTACAATCCAACACTCAAGGAACCACGGGAACTTATCTACCAGAATACTGGGTTATTGACTTAGGAATTTACAGTAGTTGAGCAATTGATATCTCTTGCCATTCCTGGTATATTTTGTGTATCTAATACTTCTTATTATCTTTGTAGAACCCCAGCTGAAAGGAATTGTGACAAGGTTATTCAGCCAGCAGGAATACTTCCTGCAGATGCACCCAGATGGTACGATTGATGGGACCAAGGACGAAAACAGCGACTACAGTAAGGAAAATTAGCCTTCTTTGCAACCAGATGATAAATGAAATGCATCACCTAGTGGGTCTCACTTGTAAGCCTTCGTTTTTGAAAAGATCAAATTAGGAAGAAGCCAGCTGTTCTCAGCAGTTTATTTCCATTGACGCTTCCCCTTTAAATCTCTCCTTTATTGTTTTCACACATTGTTTTTTTTTCCCCTCCCCTCTCTCTCTAACACTCCAACAACCATCTGGGGTGGGGAGAAGAATAAAAACGCGTGGTTTGAATTCTTGCCAGAAGAGAGAGGCGTGATATTTGCGCAGATGCTCTGCGTGTGGGAGAAGGATGTAGGGATTGTTTCCTTCAGGGATAAAAGGAAAGTGATCTTCAGGGAAAACATCTAAAACCTAACTAGGCTTAGGAACACGGGAATTGCCGGAGTGGATCAAACCAAGAATCTATCCATTCCCGTAGCCCATCTCTGACCAGGGCCATTATAAGCTGCTTCCGAAGAGACTCTGCAGTAGGCAGTGGTGAGACAGCCTGTCTCCAGGGAGAGATTCCTCTGAGCACCCCATACTTAGCGGCTGACAGAAGTTACCCAGATCCTTCTATGGATGGCAGGGTCTGGAGCAAAGTTTGATGCTGATTTTTTTTCATGCGGCAGTCAGCAAGCCGCTGTCCTTCGGGGGAGAGCACATTGGATGTCAGCACTCCCCAGTGGCCCATTGCCCTCTGCAAGAGATGGCACAAAACATTTTTGTCATGGGAAGTGTTGGGTGCCCTCAGCTCCCGTTGAGACCACGCTGAAGGATTAGGCCCCAGAGGAGATGCAAAGTGCCATCTATGGCATCAGCACCGCCCTCCCTGTGAGACCCAGGAGTCCTTCTGAGAGGACAACAGGTGGCAGTACCTTTGCTCTCACAAGGACTGAACCTTGTCCCTCTGCTGGGAGTCTGAAATCTGCCGCCGCGTTCACAGAAGGATGTCATGTCTGGCCTGTTCCCAAAGGGACGGGAGTTCTCAATCCTTAATAGTTGGAGCAGAAGCTGATCTTGGAGGGGAGCTCGACAAAGATAAAGTCCCCCACTAAGGGTCCATCTACATTACAGCTGGGAGGGTGCTTCCCAGGGCAGGAAGACACATGTACTAGCTGTGCTCGAGCTAGGATAGCTAGGGGTAGCCCAGGCAGCCACCCACATACGTACCCGGGGGCACAGGCCTGTTTGTACTTGGGTGGCTAGCCCGAGCTGCCACGCCTGCTGTCCCCGCGTACGTTGCTACTTTTAGCGTCTCAGCCTGAGCAGCGCGAGCAGGCGTCTGTCTCCCCGCGCCGGGTAGCTTGCGTCCAGCAGCTGGGTAGACGTACTTTTATGGAGGGATAATCCAGTCTGCTTAATCCAGGGATCAATCCTGTCATCCTTCCTCAGACAGAACTCCTAGCCAACCCACTGGAGGTCCTTCCTGAGTAAAGACTGCAGGGTTTGAGCTGTCAATGGGCATGTTGGCTGCAATGCTGGCTAGGCGGTAGTTCCACAGGAAGCCTCCTGGGGGTGGCGGGGAGCCCTCCGACTAGAGTACAATTGAATAGTTATCAGTGACGTGACGCTGTGCCCAAAACGGCGACTGGTAGGCAGGGTCACCATGGCAGGGGTAGCACGTTTAACACGGGTAGGGTAGGGCAGTTATTCTCCTCCGTTCAGCAACGGTTCGAGCACAGCTAGAGTCCTACCTTCTGCTTCGGGAACCAGGTCCCAGAACGATGCTTCCAGAGGGCAGCAGCTGAAATAATAGAAAGTTTGAAAAACAGCCCTTATTGAAAACAACCCCCCTCCACAATCCAAAGGCCGTATTCAGCAGACACACGGCAGTAGTTCGTTGGAAGGGACAGGGCCCAATTCTGCTCTCTCGCTGGGGTTTTACCACTGTGTAGAGCCTTTGATTTTAGGGAAGCTACTCCTGGCTTTCATCAGAGGATGGAAGAGGTGCACCAGGTCGTTAGCGTTTTGCAGCCATTGCCGCACATTGCAAATTGGATTGATAAGTGAAGAGGCTGGTCCTGCAGCCCGTACTTGCAAGCAGCCCAGACTCATGGGAGGACATCAGTGGGTCTGCTCATGTGAGCAAGGACTACTCCAGTGAGACAGGGTTGCAGGATTGGGCCCTAATTTTGGGTGCCCAGTTTGAGACGAGGTGGGCGTGATTCTCCGAGGTGCTGAGCACTCGCAGCTCCATTTGAAGTCCAGCAGGAGCCGTGAGTCTTCAGCACCCTTGACAATCAAGCTGGACACCCGAAACTTGTGGGTGCGTCAGAAAATGTAGGTCATGTAATGGGACTGGCACGGCGCTTGGGACCCTGTGTCTCTTCTGCTCAGGGTTGAAATTCACACTGTAGGAGACAAAATGCACAACCATATCCCAAGGGTGGGGTCTGATTCACTCTCGCCTGGCAGAATGTGGGGGGACGATCGAGATGGACTCTGCATGGAGTCTGTAATTTAAACACGTAAAGGAACGCGATGTTCCAGACATTGCCGCTTTGCATTCTGTTAGGGGCAGACTGATTAGCCTTAGGAACGGGAGCTCATTTTACATAGAATACACTATGTGGGTTTACTCTGGCAAGATAAACATTTAAAATGAAACGAGACACATCCCTTCTACACATCCGATGTAATTAAAACTTGTAATGAAAATCCAGTTATTTAAATAAGAGGAACTGCTAATATTTAAGCTATTTTAAAATTAATTTATCTATCTGGTGCCCACTTCGTGTATCTGTTCTTGGGGAAACGCAGGAGGTTGGGTTTTTTGTTTTTTTTTAAATACAGTTAGAAGCCAAGATAAAATGGCATTTGAACTGGCATTCAGCAAAACAGCCCTTCGTACATCTGCTGCCGAGGCCCTGGAGTTAAAGCGACACCGTCGAGTTAAAGCGACGCTGTCGAGTTCAAAGTCGTGGGATAGATTCTTTTCACCCTTAGTCTTGATTTACACCAGTGTATCTCCATTTAAGCCAATGGAGTTACCCCAAATATCAGAGGAGACCTTGGGCCCATATCTATCTTATGAATATCATCATGTTACGACCCTGAATTTGGTCAGTAGGATTGTTAGGGTCACCGGTCGCCATTTATGCCGTGTTGATTTCTCCCCCCCCCTTTTTGCTCAGCATAATCTTTTCCTAGACTGATCAATATCGCTCTTTGGGCCTGGTTCATGACTCCATGACCCCAGTTCTGTGCCAGAGCTGTTTTACCCCTTGATGTGCCAGCACAATTCTGCTGTAGCAGAGGGGTGAATTAGATCCCCTACATAGTGTATTCCAGGTAAATGCTTCGTCTTGCACTCACCGGGCCAAATCCCCAACGGGTGTAAATCAGCATGGCTCCTTTGATTGATCTACTCCAGACCAGCTGAGAATCTGGGTCACACAATGGGCCTCATTCTTGTCTCAGTTCACTTTTCCACTTGTCTAAATTATTTGGGCTAGATCCTCAAGTGGGGTAAATCAGCATATCTCCATGGATGCCAGTAGGGTAACTGGCTCGCTGACTTCCGTACAGTTACACCTGGCTTCCTCCAGTCTGAACGGAGAATCAGGCCCAATGACTTCAGTAGGACTGCTTCCAGTCTGCCTGGCCGTGCTAGGGTTTTCAGCTTCAAATCCTGGTTCTGGACAGATACCAAGGTAAAAAAGCTCCAGCTTCTTACCCTGAATATAAACACATTTTAGTCACAAAAACAGTCTTGATGCCCACCAGGCATCTGGTGCTCTTGTAGAAATTCCTTCCAGAACAGCTCTGCCACCTCCCTGTCCCAGGATTTGCCCACCTGCTGTGTAATCCCATGGTGCCCTTACCTAATGCACAGATGATGATGATACACGGAATAATCTATGATTTACCCTGTGCGGGGAGAGGGGGCAATTATTCAAAACACCGATAGGTTTCCGTGGGGATCCTCTGCCTCATTGATCTTGGGTGGTGTCACCCAAACTGCCGAACGAATGGTCTGTGAGGCAAGTTTTCTATGTAAGACGAATTAACTGTAGGGAGTGAATAATGACGGCCGTTTGCTTTCATTATCTGTAGTGATATGCTCCATTTTTCAGTTTTTAAAAAAACGAGAGGGGTGGGGGACTGCTTATAAATAGACTTGTTAATTAAACAAGGCTTTGGAGCACCGCTGGAGCACTAAAGCTATGGCAATAAAAACTTGCCTCGATAAGGGGACTTCTCACGAGGAGCCTGCGTGAAGGATTTGCACGACACGGATATAGTTACACCAGTGAGAAGTGTTAGTGTGTCGAACAGGCAAACTGGCACCAATCCTGAACATGGAGACCAGAGCATCACCTTAGACCCTGATCTGCAAAGACCAGTATTGACGCTGAACTTTAGACACTGACTTCCACTGAAGTCCTCTTGCTTCAGGAAACCGCTTAAACACGTGTGTTCGCTTCAGTGGGATTTCAGCATGAACTTTCCAGGCTGGCTTTCTGAAAAGGGGCTGTATCTGGCAGCATGTCTTTAGTGTCTGTTTTCCCACTGAAAGAGGGCTATCCCACTTACCTTTAGGCAGACCTGCTGCGAATGCCGTCCTGGCATACCTGGCCTTCCCATAATGCTTCAAATAATTCCCAAATGCCGTGGCAGGGCCGGCTCCAGGCACCAGCGCAGCAAGCAGGTGCTTGGGGCAGCCAACAGAGAGGAGCGGCAGGTCCGGCTCTTCGGCGGCAATTTGGCGGCGGGTCCCTCAGTTCCTCTCGGAGGGAAGGACCTGCTGCCAAATTGCTGCTGAAGAATGAAGTGGCAACAGCTCTGATCGTGCCTTCTTTTTTTTTTTGCTGCTTGGGGCGGCAAAAACGCTGGAGCCGGCCCTGGCCGTGGGCCTGCTTTGTCTCTCATACAGCTGTGCAACTCCAGTGACCTTCTATGGAGTTATCCCTTGTTTGCACCAGGGTGTGTGAGAGGAGGTCATTGAAAACTGTCTCGCTGGTAAAACAGTCTCTGCAGCTGGCTCGTAGGCCTCGTGTGGAAAGGACTCTTGGGGTTTATGGTTTGTTACAGTTCTTGTTTTCTCCTGGTGCAGCTGAAGCCATGTGTCCTGCCCAGCACGTGTGCATGCAAAGTCTCTTAGGAAATCTTAGTCTGACTTGGGTCTGAATTATTCAGTTCTGTTAAACCAGGGTTAGCACTAACAGTCTGTGTCGCAGTAACACTGAATCATTAGCGTGCTGGGGCATAGAAGGCTTCCAAGGAAGAAGGGGCCAGGGAGCAGGGCAGTGGGAGGTGAAAAAGATGATTGGCATCTGGATATCACCTTTCATCCAAAGTCCCCACTGTTCTGTGCTCACTTTACAAAGTGATTTACTAGCTGTACAATTATATCAATTATAAGAACAAAAGAACATAAGGACGGCTGTACCGGGTCAGACCAAAGGTCCATCTAGCCCAGTATCTTGTCTACCGACAGTGGCCAATGCCAGGTGCCCCAGAGGGAGTGGACCAACAGGCAATGATCAAGTGATCTCTCTCCTGCCATCCGTCTCCACCCTCTGACAGACAGAGGCTAGGGACACCATTCCTTACCCAGCCTGGCTAATAGCCATTAATGGACTTAACCACCATGAATTTATCCAGTTCTCTTTTAAACTCTGTTATAGTCCTAGCCTTCACAACCTCCTCAGGTAAGGAGTTCCACAAGTTGACTATAATTATCTATATTATAATTCCACAATTATCTATAAAATAACTTGAATGATTAGGTATACGTATGGCAATCGCTAGGCAATAAACTGCAAAGCCATGTGATAAAGAGCATCTCCCCTGCATTCTACCCACTGATCCATCCTCCCGGGGACTAATTTGAACATTCCAAACCCTTTGAGACACTTCAGACAGACGCCTTTTGAATGAATGAATAAATATAAAACAACCTACCAGTGAAGTGTTTGTTAGTTCGTCTCCCCACCGCTCCAGTGATTACCCTAGTCCAAGGTTTAGGAGAGTCAGTACTAACTCCCGCAAAAGTGATGTGTGTGAGATCTGATATTTTCTGACTCCGCCAGGCCAACAGATGGGAGGAGTTCTATACTCTTGGAGAGGGACGATCTCTGACTTGGACTCCTTCCTGGCCGGAGAAGGTTATGAGACACTGGGCAGTATCTCTGTGGTTCTGGAAAAGCTAGACTGGGCCACGGCTAGAGGTTTCTGAAATATTGCTGGTTAATGGGGAGCGGCAGTGTGGTCCAATGGATAGGGCACCCGGCAGTCATTCAGAAGACCTGGATTCTGTTGTTAGCTCTTCCACTGACCTCCTGTAAGACCTTGAGCAAATCACTTCACCTCTCTGTGGCTTCATGTCCTCTCCCAGCCTCTGTCTTGTCTGGCTAGACTGTAAGCTTTCTGGGTTGGAGACTGTCTCTTACTGCGCATAGAGTAGCACCTACAGACCCCAACTACAGCACAGTGGGGCCCTGATCTCAGCTGGGGTATCTCAGTTCTGCCCATATTGCAGGTAGCAATAGTAGAAACAATCAATGCCTCCGCATTTAATATAATAATGCCAGCAGCCTTTCCGATCCTGTGACGTTACAAATAATAGCAAAAATGCCATTGTGCAGGAGAGAGAGATTGCCTCTCCGAGTCCGAGTGGCTGTGTGGCATCCAGCAATAGTTACCTTTTGTAACGGATTGGGGAGGAAGTGGCTGCGACGCTTAAATCAGTGGGATGGCAGTAAAATGGGGCATTGAAGGGTCTTGTCCTTTCGTGCTGCCTGGCACCTTCCAGATGGCATAGAGGACTCAAGTCATGGAGACACTGGAGTCCAGGATGGCTCCTCCTGAGAGTCTTTATTCCTTGGCTAGCAGTGATCAGATGGATGATGGGCTGCAGGTTTCTGGGATACAGTGAGAACTGGAACTTTTACAGCCCTCCCTAAGGTCACCCTTGAAAGCGAATTATAGACCCTTCCCTGTAACTGCAAATCCCTGGAGATGTTTGCAACTCTGCTTCTTGTGTAAAGGGATGGGGCGCTAGAGGACAATGAAAACAAGGAACATGGACCACATGGAAAGATGACCTTCAGTAACGGTTGCTTTCCCCTGTTCTTCTTCCAACTGCAGCCCTCTTCAATCTAATTCCCGTGGGCCTTCGTGTGGTGGCGATCCAGGGGGTGAAGGCAGGTCTCTACGTCGCCATGAACGGCGAGGGATATCTCTACAGCTCAGTAAGTACATTGCCCGGTTTGGTGATTTCAGATCTGGTTTCTGAGCACATTGCTGTGTGGGGAACACTTCGGACCGCCTGGCACAGTAGGAGCCCACTGTCAAATAGACTCTTCCCTGTCTTGAGCAACTACCTCAAAGTATCTCCGTGTAGTTTCCGGACAGTATTCTTCGACCTTTAGTTGAAGTTACACGTCTGTTTGCTCCTTTGGAAGGTCGCTTCACTCAGGTCTTGCTGTGTTAGGTTACCGAATCTGCTGGATCTGATCTGGTTTTACATCAGTGCGACCACCCATTGCCTTCACAGAAGATACCCCTGATATACACCAGTGAACCTGATCATAGTAGGTCCTGTTCTCCACACCACAGGAATTGTGTTGATTTCAGTGCAGTTATTCTGGATTTACCCAGTGTAACTGAGCAGAATGTCTCTGTATATGAGTGGTCTTTTAAACACAGTATAAAAGATCTACAAGACACATTTTACTGACTGATTCCCCAGTAACTTTCTTAGATGGCATTAAAAAGTCTGAGGTTATTCATCAGAGTCTCATTTGAAGTAAATCATTGATTCACAGTGATTTACTAAATAAGGCAGTTCTTTGCTGGAAATATTTTACGCTTGAAATAACTTCACACTAGTGCTATGCCATCAGGAAATTGTTGTAGAGTCTATGGGCCAGACTCTGACCTCACTAACTCCAGTGCAGATCCAGAGTACTGTAATTCTGCTGTTACTCCGATTTAAAAATGTGTGTGTGGCTGGGGTGGGGGTGTGGGTTGGATTGGGGATACGACCACTGAATAGGAAATAGCACAGTTCGGTTTTTGGTATCTGGCTAATTGATCTGTAATGTGGCTATCGCCATGACCTCTAGGACGAAAGGTGGCACTTAAATCACTTGCTGAAGCAGAGCTGACTCTAGTTACCTCACTGCCGAAGGACGGCACGGTTGCCATCTCATGGGTCGAAAACAGCTCTGGGGTCATCTTGTCCCACCACCCTGGAATATTATGAATTCTTGTCAGAGCAGGACGATAGACTGAATGCGAACCTGTGTCTCACGACTTGAAGGAGAAAACAGGGTACCACTGAATACGTTCGCTTTCCCAATGAGTACAAGGTGCCTGGTGGGTCTGTGGGTCTTACGCATATTTTCCTCCTTCTGGTAGCTGTCGATCAACTTCTCCTGTAGTTTCCTCTGTGGCGCTCTGTTCGCAAGATAAAATCACTTTGTGGATGCCTGTGTAAGCGCTGTGGGATCAGAGCTCAGACCCTGGATTAGCCTCTTCGCATGCTGTAATCACAGTCCGAGCAGTCCGGAGTGTAAACGGCCTCGTCACCCCCTCACTCTGTTCAGGGTTGTTCCTTATAGTATGATCTCAACAGGATGCAGCACTCCAGTTTTAAACCACTCAAATAACTGTTATTTCTACTTCTTACCTTGGGCGGCGATAAGATCACAGAAGTGCAGGGCTGGAAGGGAACTCGAGAGGTCACCTAGTCCGTTCCCTGTGCCCCGCCACTTAGGAGGCATGTTTACGTCTACCTAGACCCGTCCCAGAGAGGTCTTCTGTCTAATTTGTTCTTGAAAACTTGCTGCAGACTAAGCCAATTCCTCCTTGTCCTACCCTCGGTAGACGTAGAGAACCATCCATCACTGTCCTCTTTATGACGTCCCTTTTCTATTTGCAGACTGTTATCAGTTCCTCCTGAGCCTTCTCTTCTCAAGATTGAGGCAATGTCTGCACGACCACTTATGTTGACAAAACTTTTGTCGCTCAGGGGTGGGGAAACCCCCGAGTGATATAAGTTGTGCCGGCATAAGCGCTCATGTGCACAGTGATGTCGGCGGGAGAGCGTCTCCTGCCGACGTAGCTACCGCCGCTCATTGAGGTAGTTTCATGATGTCGACAGGAGAGTTCTCTCCCGCCAGCATGGAGCGGCTACGTGAGCGATCTTACAGCTGCATCGGTACTGCCTAAACATGCCCCGTTCGTTCAACCTTTCCTCAGAGGTCAGGTTTTCTCAACCTTCTATCACTTGTTGCTCTCCTCTGGATTCTCTCCAGCTTTCCAAATCTTTCTTAAAGTGTGCTGTCCAAACCTAGATGCACTACTCCAGCTGAGGCCTCACCAGTACCCAACTACCTCCCATGTCTTACCTATCGCACTCAGCCATAGCCTGGTGGAGCTCAATCTTAGGAAATTACAAGTGTGGCTGGGTATTTGGGGATCGCGTGTTAGTTTTCAAAACTGGGTGGCTGTCAGGACGAAGAGAGGGATAGATCAGTCAGCTCTCTGGTTATGCCAGAAACGTCCCTTTCTGTCACAGCTCAGTACATTTAAATGTCAATTAAGTCTAATCAGTTGTGTCCCTTTAAATAAATCAGTTCAATTTACCATGATACTGATCTTCTTTGTAAAGCACTGTGAGGTCCCAGGATGAAAAGAGCTATATAAGAACTTGGTGTTGGTATTATTATTTATTATTACTGTTGGTGTGGTTAACAATAGAAATGGTTTACTTAATTGCAAACTCTTTGGGATCGGGAACCTCCTGTTTTGGATCTGTGTCTGCACACCGCTGAGTGCAATAGGCCCTGATCCATGACTGGGTCTCCTGGGCATTGCGGTAATACAAATAATTAATTCTCGAGGTAAATTGTACGGGGTACACGGATTGTGTGACTTAAACAGAAGTGGTGTTCTGCACAATAGAATACCTACTTCTGTACGGGACCCTTCAGAGAAGCTAGAGTTCAGAATTCTTGTCAGAGTAAAAGAATTACAAGGAGGAAGAGCAGTTAACAGCTTTGTAAACAGAGCAGGTCTGAAAACTTGGACAGAAATGGGGGGAAAATGTCTCTGGAATCTTTCAGAATTGTGTCCATTTTTTTGACCAGCTCCATCCCCAAATATGGGACGCAATCCAGGACTAATGATGCAGGAAGAGCTAAGGGTCAGCAGCCCCTGACAACAGGGGTTGCAGAGAAGAAGGCTCTCTCACTGACACTTGTGAGATCGTGTGAAGGATTGAGGAGGAGCTGGAGGGAGACCGGGAAGGCCAGAAAAGGAGGTGGTGGCTGGGAGGCAGGATGGACTGCTTTAAAAACAAGGAGGAACTTTCCCTTCAGTCAAACAAATTCTCTTATAGTTAATGGGTCAGATCGTCCAGTGCGGCAGATGAGTACCGCCTAATGGGACGTTGCCGATTTACAGCAGCTGTGGATTTGGCCTGGTACCTCCAGCTGAGAGCTTTACTCTGATTACATTATCCCCGCTATTACACTCAGAATGGTCAGGGGTTAGCAGGACGACTGGCGTGGGCATGGTTACATGCTGCGGTTTTGATGGTTTTCAGCTGTGTCTGCAACAATAAGAATTAAACTGTTTCTTTCATGAACAAAATGTCACTGGGAAGCAAACTCCTGGGTGCTGTGCATGGAGGTTCCCAAGGAGACGTGGCTGACTGGGCCTGGCTTCCCTCCCACACCAGCTCTCTGCTGGGCTGACTCCGTTGTCTCAGGGGAGCTATGACTGACTGACAGCAGTGTAGGCTTCACCCAAAGCCCATTGAACTCAACGGGCGTCTTCCATGGGCTTTGCACCAGACCTGACGTGAGAGGGAAAATGAGGCCTGGTATTTAGAGCTGGGATGGCTCGGTCGGCTTAACAGCAAGGACTGTGGGTTGAAATGCCTCTAAGCATCAAAGATAAAGGATTGAACCGAGGTCTGTAGCTGGACTGCTAATTACTCAGCTCAATGTCGACTGCAGCTGCTGCCTCTCACGAGGGGCAGGGGTCAGCATGTGGCACCGGTGTCTGGCTCTCAAAGGCTCCTTCGGGTCCTGTCTCCCATACTAACCACTGTGTCTTTAATCTTTTGCTTATAAGACCATAAGGCACAGCTTTTCTCCGCCTCCGGCGTGTTTAACTTGCAGTCAGGAACATGCCTGGTTTCTCTAGGGCAGGGATCAGTGATTTGGAATAAGGGGCTAATACTTCTTGTTGACTTTGGTCACTCACCCAGCTCCACCCTCCCCTGCCTGCTGATCCGTCTCCCCCGTATTTATCTGAGCGTTCTAAGCCCTGCCGCTGGTTCCAAATAAGCCAGCTGGCCAGGGAAATGCTTCTTCCTTCTCTCCCAGGAGCCTAAATTCTCCGCTGCTGTAGATGGGCAGAGCTCCACTGACTTCCATAGCGTTCCATCTGCTTACACCAGAAAAGAATTTGGCCTGGGTATTGCCCTACCAAATCAGGCCAGGGCTTCAGATAGAGGCTGGGTTGGTTGGTTTCTGCCAGCGCCAGCTGCGTTAGAGGAAGATGCAAGAAGTCCTCTCGAGTACAACTTTAGCATAACCAGCCCTCAAGGGAAGTGTCTTCCCCAACGCCTGTAAGCTAGGGTCAGGCAGCAGAAGGACTTAGAACTCTTAACCATATCTATTTACCCTGCCTAATGCCATTAGAGATGTGGTCATAATCCATATAAATGTGCAATCCTCTTTTGAATCCTACTGAGCTCTTGGCCTCAGTGATATCATGTGGCAGAGAGTTCCATAGGTTACAAATGCATTGTGTGCGTTTGTTGATGGAAGAGGGGTACTACCTGGGTAGAAGAGCAGGAAATTATGTAGAATTTCCCATTGCCTGAGGTCTAGAACAGGCAGAATTCAGCCCTCGGCCACTAACAGGTTTTCTGCATTTAAACATCACAAGAGGGAAGCCCAATGTCTTGTGGCTTAGAAATCGGACGCTTTCCCCACTAGAAAGTAAAGACTCCCAGTGAGAATTTCCAATTCTGTAGTCATCACACATTTCAGTATAGAGAAGTTGGACTCCCTCGGTACCCTGTCCGCATGGACTCACGGGACCCGCTTTTTGAGAAGCGCTGATTGGTGCCGCTGAAAACTGTTGGAGCTCTCAATGCTGAGCACCCGTGAAAATCAGACCCTTGTTAATTAAGGCCTCTGGCTCTTCAGACAGAGGAATGTAAAATCTA